TGGCCTGCCGTGTTCATCCAGCTCTACACCTGGTTATCTCAGATTCTCCAGCATCGGCAGTTCCCACTATCTCTGGCCATTATTTAATCCTTGTTATCTTATCAGATGAGATGATTTACATTACAATCTGGTTAAGGACCAGTAACATTTGTGTTTCAAGTCGACAAAGTTTGAAATTCCAATACTTACTTAGGGAATAAAGCCAGAAGTTTCCACAGCTTTTCAACAGCTACGCAAAATCAGAACAGTATATGCAAAAATATATTACCACACACACACTCACACACACACACACACCTTATACTCCAGAATCTAGAATTGACATGAGCTAAATATGGGTTAACAGATAAGGTGTACTTGGATACTACAGCGTACATCAAATAGCAGATTCAGGCAAGACAGATCCCACATACCTCTCACGGTCTTTCTTTCCAGAAGATCTGATTCCCTCTGAGACTGGATTCCATTGTTCTGGCCAGACTATACTTCAGTTACAAAAGAGAAGTACAGCTTTACAAAGCTGCACTCCAGCATTAATAAATGATCCGATTCTAGCTCCAAGCAGAATCTAAATGCCCATGGTCCATCCTGAGCCCTAATGAGACAGGGCCAGTTCCTGTTACTGACCCTTCAATCAAAGGACATAGCCACTTTGTGCTGCCTCTCATTTCGTATACACCTCTACCAGGTTTCTCCCTCAATCTTTCCTGCTTGAAAAAAAGTAAATCAAGCTTTTGCAGCCTCTATTCGGAGCTAAAACTCTTCATCCCAGCAACATCCAGGTGCATCTCCTCTGTACCTGCTCCAGTGCAACTACATCCTTCCTATAGTGCAGTGACCAGAATGCAACCAGTACTCCAGCTGTGGCCTGAACAAACTTTTGCACAGCTCCAATATAACATTCTTAGGTATGCCTCAAATGATAAAGGCAAGTGTCCCATCTGCAACAAATGAGTGTCCTCAGACAGCACCACTTAAGAAAAGGTTTCAATTAGCAAAAGATGCTAATAAAGTAATACATTGAATATAACCGTTTAAATAATTGAAAGACACAAGTTAATTTTTAAAAGTCTCTAAGATTAAGTCTTGGAAACTTCACATCGGCTGATTTCATTTTCTTTTTCTTTTCAAAAGATTTACCTATCACCTTCTGATTGAGCATTAACCAAACAACATCTTACAATCATTTTACACAATACACCAAGAATGTTAATCTATAACAGAAATCTTACATGAATGCACAATTCTAATCAGCTTTTCCCATTACAAATTTGTATGTCTATTTAGAATAGAAACCATCTATTACTTTACTTCATCCAACTATAAAATTTGGCCTCAATTTCCCCTTGCTATACTAATGGAGACCAACTGCACATAACATTTATTATTTCGTAAGAAGTGCAAATCAAATGTTCAGAACTACATCAAGTTCAGAATTCTATCAAGTTCACCCATGACAGATAAAAGGCAAGTGTCCTTAATTTACCTCTGTTTGAAGTATGGCAGCTCTCTGTTCTTTGGCAGTGAGTGATTCTTTGAGAACCTCAATGTGTTGTTTACAATCAGAATTCTGATTGTTCAATGTTTCCAGCTTGGTTTGTAAGGCAAGGAGTTCAGATTCCTTCTTGGACAAATCCTGTTTTAACTGATCGATCTGTAATTGAAACAAAATATACCGACATAAAATAACAAAGAAAATGACCATTCCTAACAAAAACAAAAACCTGAGGAAGGGTCATCGGACCCAAAACATAAACTCTGTTTTTTCCTTCACAGATGCTGCCAGACCTGCTGAGCTTTTCCAGCAACTTTGTTTTTATTCCTAACAAAATAGTTGGTTGCACCAATTGTTTGGCTTAAGCCGGTGCACATAACAGAATTACACCTTATACAACACAAAAAGAGTTGCTTATTTTCATTATCTGACAAACTAAAAATTATATTTCAAACAAATACAGTTTAATTTTTCAACAAAGAAAAAGCATTTAGTTAATGCTAAACAAATTATACATATTATGACTCAAAAGGGTAAAATAAACAGGCAGCCAGTTCCTTTATTAAAAACCAAGCTGAACTGAAGGAGGTTAGCAGGCCAATAACATTGGCTTCACTAGATACGTTTTACAGTTCAGGAAGAATACAATGAGAGTTTATTAATTTAGTATTTTGATACTGTACATTGTTACAGTGCAATGGGCTTCAGTCAAATAACATTAAGAGCCATACATTCAGCAATATTTGCAGAAACACCCTAAACACTCTGAAAAATAAAGTGCAGTGTTTCCAATATGTTCTTATTTTGTTTTTAAACAGTAAAGCCAAGGAAATTGTAAATGGCACCACAGGCACATGGCATTCATGGGCAAATACATCACCATAACAGTCTATCTAATTTACCTCTGTCACCTTGGTAGATGCAGGATACAAAATGCACCAAATATGTAATAATGAAGAAAACCCTACTCTCAACATCCGTCTACAAATTATTCATGTATTTTAAAAGGTGGCCATTTGGGCTCAAGTTAGTGCCCGGAAACAAAGCCATGACATTAATCCTATTCCTTTACTGAATGGGATACCTAAAGTAATATCCCGGTTTTCAAACTGCTCATATCAAATAATTGGCTCTTTTAAAAGAAAAACAAACGTGTTGCAAAGCTCAGTTAAAACTACAGCATTGGTACCCTTTCACTTCAATTGTTAATTGTAAATGATCAACCAGAAACTTCCAAGGCTCTTAAGGTGCATGTATACAAACTACATTCACCCTGACTCAATACTTCTAAGGATCTTACTAGGGCAACAAATGCGGTCTTGCCACTGATGCTGTCATCTGAATATGATGATATAAATTATTTATATCACACAGCAGATGGCAGATAGTAAAGAAGTAAATAGAAAAGTGATAGCAAATCTATGAAGACATTTCAAATCAAAAATCACAATGTGGATTTAAATCAGGAAACACTAATTTCATAATGCCTAGTTGGAACTGTATTTACTCAATTTAGCACTTTAAAATTAATATTCAGGCACTGTGGCAAAAGATTCTGCATTAATGCCAAATATTTAGGACCACTTATCACGAGTTAAATATATATATATATAAAAATGGTTCCTCCTCTTCTTGGTTCTAAAGGGTCATCCCTTCACTCCGAGGCTGTGCCCTTGGGTCCTAGTCTCTCCTAATAGTGGAAACGTCTTCTCATGTCCACTCTATCTAGGCCTTTCAGCATTCAAAGTTCATTCAAACTGGTAAAATATTTCTGTATTTCACAAGATTTATCAATTGAACTGTTTTTGCATCTTCTCAACCAAACAACAGTTTCCAAGATCAATGGGCTCACTGTTCAGTGTGCGACAAATTCACAGGCTCCATTGCACTTGTGTCCAACATTCTGTCATCCTAAGAAGTCAACCTTCTTGATTCTACAGCTCATTTGACCTCCCTCTGCCCATCTTGAAACCTCCATTTTCAATTTTTGTTCCACTTGGGAAAACAAACTGGACACATCCCACTTTTGTCCATGAAAAGTTCATTTCTGATTGTAAAATAAAGCAGTGTTCCCACTTAAAAGCCAGTAATTATGGTTTTCACTAAATAATGTGAAATATTGCGGTATTAATCCTCAACAGACCAGTAAGAATTTCACTAAGCTATTTAATGAAAATGGAATTTGACTTAATTAGTCACTAAATCAATGAAACTGAAAACGAACAAAAACATCTATCCCATTGTTATAATCTTTGCAGTTCCAAACTTACATAGCGTGAAACCACGTCTTCAGGTTTCAAACTACTCCCCTGCAGTCAGGTCAAGACCAAAACCGGAATTTAGACTGAAATTTGAGTGTTGCTGTAGCACAGAAACTATACTGCACAAAATGGTGGTTAAAACATGAACACATGGAAACAGAAGGCCACAGCATACTGCACCTAGTGGGACAAAATAACAGCTTTCATCAGACAGCAATTTTTTTTTTAACTGCAGAGAGACACACCACCTCCCCTCCAGCATCCAAAAGCTTCTCACTGTATCACTCACGTTCACACAAGCCATTCAGCTAACCATGAACCTGAGCTGTTATTGTCAGGCTGATGGCCTTAGGCATCCATAACTGGTCACAACAGCACTAACCTAGTGTGGAGCTGGAGGAACACAGCAGGCCAGGCAGCATTAGAGGAGCAGAAAAGCAGTGTTACTCCAGCTCCACACTGTTATCTCTGACTCGAGCATCGGCAGTTCTTACTATCTGAGTGAGCACAAACCTAACAGCTACTTGCTGCCACCATATCTTACTTTGTGCGCACACTCCAAAACTGCACCATTACCTTTTAAATCATTCCCCACTGCTTGCAAAGCAGCATTATAAACATGACCCACAATGAATTTCGTAAACTTCAAACTTTTAAAAGTTCAGCAATTCCATCCTCAGTCCTTTGCTGTAAAACAGATTTCTCCCCCAATTCAGTCCACAATCACAAATAAGTCAAAATAAACAGATGCAGTCTTTACAAATGAAACATCTTAGCTCAGGATAAGTTTCAGCACCACAGACAGGATGGTATCAGGGCTCATAATTGTGGCTGTATTTCATGAATTCAGTTATTTTGCTATCAAGAGAGTGAACGAAATTGGCTGCAGTCAGGTATCCATGATGAGCGAATTATCAGAAGTGCACAGAGGTGGACCATCTATTTCACATGTCTAACTGAAGATGGCTGTAAATGCTTTCAGCCATGCACTTTGCTTTCACATGCTGGGCTCCACTGTTGTTGATGATGAAAATTTACATGCAGCCTCCTGTTTAATTGCCAATGCGGCTAAAGAAAACCGCCTACATAACTGTGCCACACAGTAATTTCACACTGTTGGTACTTCCACGCCTTGAAGAGGCAATTGAACATAACGAGTTTACATGGCCAGTTCCATTATAAAAGGTGAACATAAATATTTATAATCAGAAATGTTGACAGGGTCTGTACATAAATGTAAAGTTTATAATTCTGAAGTGTGCATACATATCATTTTTGTGCCAATTTAGTGTGAAGAGAACTTAGGGCATAAACAATGGAACTTAAGCCTCATCATTTCCTCAAGCAGATATTCAGAGACTGAAGCACCAAGAGATTATTTGCACCCAAAATAAATTCAATGAAAAGGCCTTTGTTCTACAGATGTTGGTCATCAGATTTCTTCTTTTTTCTGATCAATTATTTTTATATAACCTGAACATAGGCCTTTTATGGCAGAAAACATTTAAGGGCAGAAAAATACATAATACTTCCACCTCAAAAGGTCACCAGCTGAAAGGAGGGATTTGTAATGTATTTTAGAACTCATAACACAAAATTAATTATGGATGGATCTGGTGAAAGAGCTTTGTGAAGATTCATAACAACATTCCTATGTTGACAAGGGACAAGATTGGTTCATTTTGTTGAAAGTTCTTTTTATAAAATTTTAGGTAGACAATGACAAGCATATCAGAATATTAGTATTTTTAAATTAGTTTTCAAAAAGCAAAGTCTTTCTCATGGGTTAGTTTGCCCAGTTAGTGCAGTTCAAAGGTTAATAGCACTTTGCATTTTTTGATTCAGAGACAGCGTATAAAGAATGACAAAAATGCACAGCCTGAGGCAATGTTTTCATGGACTTGGTTATCACTTATCTGTCACAATCTTTCTACTTCATCCAGCATTTATTTTACGAGCACAGTATTCAAATTCTGTTAACAAAAAGATCAACGCCTTAGTTACAACCCAGTTAGCTTGTTCATATTTTACCTTGCTAAGGTTGAAGACATTATAACCCACATATGAATAGACAAGTGCATAGAATCTGTATGGAATCATATGAGGCATTGACCATTGTTATTTGTTTTAGATGTTACTGTTGTTTCCAAGAATATAGTGCCTGTTTAAACGGTGATGCAAATAGAGAAATATCAAGTAATTTGCTCGTTCTTCAAAAAATCTGACAATTCAAAACATCAGCCCTCGGCCTGTTAACCACCTGCAGACTGTATACTGTTACAATCGGGTGCGACCAGGTGAATTAGCCCTGTTCTTTTTAAACTCCTCAATCAGCTGCAACAAAATATTTTTATTTATTTTTAGCATGCAGCTATATCGCACTTCAATTAAAATGCATTACTTGTGCATTGCAAGATGTGCCATTAATATACATTTTAAAAATTATTCACTTTTGAATTTGGAATTTTGAATTTAAAGCATATGGGAGAACTATGTGTTGAAAGGAGTTTAATGACTAACTTGTAAGTATTTCTGTAGCTATGGTTTAAAAAAGTCAGAAAGACACTTTTAAAATATGTTTTGTTTACATTTGAAGAGTTTATGGATGAACAATATTATGACCAGTTATGAACTCAGACAGAAGATTCTGGAATGTTTTTCTGGGCTCAGGCAGCACACATAAATTCAAAAAAGATTATATAAAAGTTTGGGTTTGGTCCATTCTGTAGGTGTCATGGCTATAGCCAGGTGTATAATGCAGCTACTCCTAAGAAAGTAGAAAGATGTCCGAGTGTTGTTAAACATATATGATCTTAGTGGAAGGAGTTTACTTTAAAAGTGCTAGACCACCAATATTTGGTTAAAATCAAGGAACGATAATGTGAGGCTGAAACAGAT